TTACAGCACCATTCCCACAAGATAGTGATGAACTTGAAAGAATAACCAAACTCTTCCATTTCCTTGGAATTTTCTTGGCTAAATGCATTCAGGACAATAGACTTGTGGATTTACCCATTTCTAAGCCTTTTTTTAAACTCATGTGTATGGGGGACATTAAAAGTAACATGAGTAAGTTGATATATGAATCACGGGGTGACAGAGACTTGCACTGTACTGAAAGTCAGTCAGAGGCTTCTACAGAAGAAGGACATGATTCCTTGTCAGTAGGAAGTCTGGAAGAAGACTCCAAATCAGAATTTATTCTTGATCCACCAAAACCTAAGCCTCCTGCCTGGTTTAATGGAATTTTGACATGGGAAGACTTTGAATTAGTAAACCCACATAGAGCTAGGTTTCTAAAAGAAATTAAGGACCTTGCAATTAAAAGACGTCAAATTCTAAGCAACAAAAATCTGTCAGAAGATGAAAAGAACACAAAACTGCAGGAATTAATGCTGAAGAACCCATCAGGTTCGGGGCCTCCCCTTAGCATAGAGGATTTGGGGTAAGTTTTCATATTTATTTATAGATAGGCAAACAGTCTTGTGTTAGAGGAAGAAGCCAATATATAATTACAAATGAATTAGTAATGAAACTCAGCTTTAAATAGCATAATTGCAAGGGGGAATCCATAGAGATGCAGCCATATTATTTTTCTTTGGTTTGAGGATATGTTCTCTTCTCACTTGCTCAATTTCCTAGTCTTAAATGTGGTTATGTTGCAGTGATGTGTGCCTCTGGAAACATAAATACTTGTAAAAACAACTGCTTGTAAAATCACGGCTTTAAAAAAAGGGCAATTCAGTAATTTCTTTGCTATGATAACTTGAAATTTATCAAGTTTTTTGGAGAGCTTTTAAAGAGGACAGATTGACATCTCAGATTGTGTTCCTAGTACAATGTTTAAATCCATGTTAAACAGAGCATGTGTTGACTTTTAGTAACTGTAAAAAACAAAGTACTCATACCTGTGTAAACCCATGTCAGGATGTCATCCTCCCTAGTTTCAAATATTTCCTTTGAAACAACAGTTTTTCTACCATTAATATTACAGGTTATTTGTTATAATCATATTATACAAAAATTGTATATAATCATATAACATGTCAGGATGTCATCCTCCCTAGTTTCAAATATTTCCTTTGAAACAACAAAGGTTTTTCTACCATTAATATTACAGATTATTTGTTATAATCATATTATGCCACAAAAATTGTTTAGTGTCAGAGTTCAGTAATTACTTATGGCCTTGGAATCATAGACTGTCCTGAGCTGAAAGGAATCCCCAAAGATCAACCTGCACAGCACCATCCCTAGGAGTCACACCCTGTGTCTGAGAGCGTTTTCCAAACACTTCTTGAACTCTGTCTGCCTGGTGCTGTGATCCCTTCCCTGGGGAGCCTGTTCCAGTGCCAAACCACCCTCTGGCTGAAGAACGTTTTTCTAATATCCAACATAAATCTCCCCTGACACAGCTTGAGGCCATTCCTTCATGTCCTGTCACTGTCACCACAAAGAAGAGATCAGTGCCTGCCCCTCCTCTTCCCTTCATGAGGAAGTTGTAACTGCAATGAGGGCTCCCCTCAGTCTCCTTTTCTCCAGGCTGAACAGACCAAGTGACCTCAGCCTAGACCTGGCTTCCTTTCTAGACCCTTCCCCATCTTTGTATCCCTTCTGTCAGTGATCTCTAATAGCTTCATATCCTCAAAGGCCTTGTGGAGTTCAGCCTGGCTTGTTACAGAGAGAAAGCAAGTAGCACTGTTGAAGGGCCTAAATGGCTAATAGTTCAAATGGCTCTGTAATTGTTATTGCTGGAATTTAATGGAAATTATTTTTCTGAATTTGTGAACGAAATTAAATGGTTTGAATAGTTTTGAAGCTGATAGCTCTAAGATATCAGATTTATGAAATTTTCAGTGGTTATCAAATCCAAATAGAGAGTGAGAACATGCATTTGCATGCCATATGTTTGAAACACATATCTGTGTAGTCCATTACTGTTTGTAGTTCTGTGCTTTTCTATATACATGAACAATGGTTCAAAGTGTTCCACTCACAATGGTTTGAAATCCAGTGGGGTGCTTTTGGGTGTGACAGGTTGTAAATCTGGTGTGTTTACAAAAGCAGTAGCAGACTTGTTTTCAGTTATTAACTACCTTTGTATTTTGAAGTTTAAATTTTCAGTTTTGCCCTTCATCCAAAGTATATGGGTTTACAGCTGTGGATCTCAAACCAGGTGGTGAAGATGAGGTAAGAGAATAACCTACCTTTACAATTGAACCAGCAGTTAAATTTTTATTGTCTCAACAACAACTTTAGTGAACAGTGAGTTCTTAGAATATCTATCTACTGTCTTTGCAGACTGTAACAATGGATAATGCAGAGGAGTATGTAGATCTCATGTTTGACTTCTGCATGCATACTGGTATACAGAAACAAATGGAGGCCTTCAGAGGTAAATATAACTTAATACATGTTGTTAAGTGGAATAATGGGTGTTTAGGGTATGTGGGTTTAAAGTGGTGGCATAGAATGGCTTTCAAAAAAAAACTTTTTACTTAAGAATGCAATAGGTAAGATATTAATTTCAGAATACCTTTGCATTAGTTAAGCTGTTTTTAATTGTGAAGATGTCCCACTTACCTTAATTAAGAAACTATTGATTGATTCTGGTTTGACTAAAATTCAACTTAAATGCTGACATTATTTTATAAACATTATTTGGACTCATTTTTATAACTCTATCTTGTGTAAATTAAAGATGGCTTCAATAGAGTGTTTCCAATGGAGAAGCTGAGTTCCTTCAGCCATGAAGAGGTTCAGATGATTCTGTGTGGAAATCAATCACCTTCTTGGGCAGCTGAGGATATCATCAATTACACCGAACCCAAACTGGGATATACAAGAGATAGGTACTTTTTTTCTTAGTGATTTTAAAATAGTAGCTAAAAGAAAATGTTAAGTGGCAGAATGTCCCGGATGTTCATTAGATGAAGATGCCAAATTTGATGAAAGTGGTGGTTACTGAAGAGAAGGTGATTGTCTAAAATCGTGGGAAACAACCATGTGTTACAACAGATAGGTTAGAAAGTACTTGGTAGTTTTGTGATGAGAGAAGGTAAAAAAATTACTCAAATACAAGTAACTAATGAACACATAATGGCAGCTAATACAGATTACTAAAAATAGATTTTAGAGGTTTTATTCTCATATCTGAGAATAGTTATAATTTTTTTTCTGGCCGTGCCCAGTTGTTACTTTGCCCATATTTCTTACTCCTTTCTCGAGGTGTAGTTAAAAAAAGAAAGTGTACTATGCAGGAGACAAATACACTTACTGGTGGTTGGCTGTCAGAAGGTGGTCTTGATGTTTTTGGGTTTGTTGGGTTTGGGTTTTGCTGCTTGTCATGTTTAGTAGCGATAACATAAAAAACTTCTGGAACTGTATTAGAATAAGCCTGCTGAAATGTTTGAGCTCTACTTCTCTACCCTGTCAAATGCATTCAAATGCAAGATACCTAAATAACACCCCAAGATTGTACTTACATTTTTTTGTGTAATACTCTGCAAGGAGATTAAAGACTATTTCTTTGGATTTAAGGATGTTTTATTCTTAATAATCAACAGGCCCTAGATTCTTACAATGTCTGCTTAAATGTGACTAAAGATTGCAATTCTACTGTGTCAAGTTAAGAGAAATTTTAAAACCCCCCACCACTCTCTCCTAGTGTTATCAGAACTAATTGTTTTACTTTATTTTAAGCCCTGGATTCCTTCGATTTGTGAGAGTCTTGTGTGGAATGTCTTCGGATGAGAGGAAGGCTTTTCTGCAGTTCACCACTGGCTGTTCGACACTCCCCCCAGGAGGGCTGGCAAACCTCCACCCCCGGCTCACCGTTGTGCGCAAGGTACGGCGTCCCCGGGCCACGCTTGGGGCCAGCTGCTTTGCCTTGGCACTGCAGGGGTTTCTACATTAACAATGATGCTTTATATTTTAGTTATTTAATTCATGGCAGTATGCTAAGGTTTCAATACTAACCTCTTGTTTCCTCTGATACCATATTTTTTAATAGATAAAATTCATATATTTAAATATCAAAATATTAATGTACATATAAAGCAAGTATATATATAAATTGGCCTGTGGCTTTGCTGATGCTGTTGTTTCTTGACAGCTGGTGTTAGGTACGCAGCAAGTGCCATGACTTAGAGGACTTTATAGCTTTTAACTCCCATACTGAGTGCTGTGAACAACTGCTGTAAAATTCTTTTTTTTGCCCTCAGGTTGATGCTACAGATGCAAGCTATCCGTCTGTGAATACATGTGTACATTACCTAAAGTTGCCTGAGTATTCTTCTGAGGAGATTATGAGGGAGCGTCTGCTAGCTGCTACCATGGAGAAAGGCTTCCATCTCAACTGAGCCGCTGAGCGCAGCCTGGGACATGGAAGTGTTTTTGATACTAGCAAAGCCTCTTGTGTTTGTGTGCAAAAAATACGATCTCCACGCTGTGCTCTGACGAGACTTGCCTTTTTTCACCTGTGAGGCTTTAGGAAAATGTGGAATGTTTGTTAGCTGCTAATGACAAAATAAATCCTTGTAACTACACAGCCAGCAAGAAATTGGCACAGAACACTGTGTGATGCTTCAAGGGCTTGCACAACTGGAAATTAAGGTGTTTCTGTTTGACTGTTCCAAAGAACAGATCATCAGATTTTCAGTGTTCACTGATACAAATTTCTAACAGTGTATTGTGTAAAGTTTGTCTTTTAATACCCTGTACACTACGGTTGCCATCACTGATCCCTGTTTTGCTGGCTTTAAGCTAACTGGTCAGAAACTTGCTTCCTTTAAAATTTAGACTTAATGGGCATCTCCAGCCTTTTCTTTTTTAATGGTGCCTGCACTATTGGAGTATTTTAGTGGGTTTTTGCGTATAATCATGCACAACCATTTTTCTTCTTCTTTTTCTTTCAAGTGGGAATATATTTTGATTTCTCAAAATGCCCTGCTATAAAGATCAAATCCTTAAGTGTGTTTGTGCAGCTCAACAATAAAGCTATTAAAAAACACTGGTTCCTAGTGCAAGGCACACTTAAAGCAAGTTTTACTTTCGGTTGTATTTTCTTTGTATATTATAAACATTTATTTAACTTGTTGCAGTTTGAAGTTTAAAAAAAAAAAGCACCCAATGTGTAAGCTCAAAAGTAATCATTAAAATGTTTGCAACATATAAAAATGTCTCTTCTGAATACTTCCTTAGTACTCACTAAATCTCTGTACATGTTCTGAACAATGTGCCATGCTTTTTTAAAGGTTTCAAAGAACTACATAAGAGAACTACTGAGCTCACAAATTCATCTCTGTGTTCAAATCTTTTCAGAGTGAGTGGAACTTCTTGAGTCTGGCACTAATAACCTGCATGTGGCAGGTTTTGGTGCTCTTCAGTGAGCCTATGTGACCTGAGACTACAGTTCTTCATTACAGTGGAATAAAATCTGGGTCAGGTGATACAGCTGATTCAGCTTCACTCGAGATGGACTAGCTGTCTTGGTGTTAGCACGTGATATTTATTGGAAGAAAAGTGGCTTACAGTAAGATAAAGCAATATATGGTTTTAAAGATTTTAAGTAGTTGATACCAGAAAAAAAAAGCTATTGTGGTTGATTCTACGTAATAAGTTTTGCTTTGTGCCGGTTGTCTTTGGTAACATCCTCTTCTCAGGCCACTGCTGAGGTGGACTTGCCAAAAGATTCTGCCTTGCACATACACATCAGATTGGTGCCATATTATTTTTCATGGCATTTTCTGTAGGACTTTACAGCATTGTTTTTTAGATTTTCCCTAATGCAGAACTGGAGGGGAATATCCACCATCCTGCCCACTCCTGTGCCTGTTGTGCTTCAGACAAACACCTGTATCCAGGTTTATGCAACTCCGCTCCAGTCCCAACATCATCCTGTTTTGATAAATGTGTTACTGTGTGAAAGCCCTGTGGATTATTCTCACACACAACACTCTGCTCCTTAGACCCTGGTTTCTGAGTGATGTTTATGTGACCAGTATGTGCTTTCACACAGAATATGCTTATTCAGTATCAGGTGATGTGTAGGGTTAGGCTGGAGGTTAAGAAGGAGGCAGATAGCAGTTCTGGAAAGGTAAGTGGAAGTAAGCTGAGATTGCCAACTGTCCCCTGACTGACAGAGTAGTGTGCAGTGTGAATCAGCGTACTGGATGCCTGGGAATGCAATTTAGTGTAGCTGTGGCTTCCTGCTCAAGAAGGGAGACTTCATTTGGTACCCACCTGGTCCTGAGAATTGTATCTTTTATTACTCATCTTCTGTAAGAGTTTTGCTCTTGATGCATAGATAGCATAGACAAGAGAAAAAAAAAACAAACTGGTGTGCCAAGAGAGAAAAGATACTGTGTAATTTATAAAGCAAACATGACAAAAGAGCATTAAACTTCTGATTTTAATTATCTTTTATTAATATTATAATATTTAAGTGCTAAATAATTCCAGTTACAACTTGCAGAGTATGCAGAAATACTTAATACATCTGTACTTTTCTTTTTGTGTCAATGACTTGAATGGCAAAGGTAGGGAAACCAGCTTTTTTATGAAGGATGAATATAGTTTAAAAGTAGGTATAAAAGTCATAGAACTATTATTAACAGTAAATTTGTATGAAAATAAGTTAAGTTGGTGCTTAAAGGGAAGAACTGAAACTCAGTTTGAATTTATATTTCTGTATTTTGTCTTCTAGGTCTGGCATGATACTACATAATTCCAAGTGATACCTAGTCAGTCATGGTAAGTTTCCATTGTTTGATCCAAAAAAAGGTTTTATAATTATTGACCATTCTAGGAAGATTTCTGCTGGGTCAGTGAAGTTTGATCCAAATGCATCCACATGTTTAGTTGTATCTTTCCCACTGGGTAGAGAGAGTATAAGAGAAAAGGAAAATATTTTCTAGCTAATTTGGATGTTGCATGAGTCAGTCTTGCAACAGCAGAAAACTGCTATAGGCACATTCCTGATGCTTTTGCCATCTTTTGTAAGATGGCACTCCTGCATCTTCCTAGCCTTCGGCCACTTTGTCAAGGACAAACAGAGGGGCGAGAATTCTGTTCCGGTTCGTTTCCACAATGCAGCCATTTAGCACCATTTCATCCAAAATGATGTGCACTCTGTCCAAATTGAACATGATCTAGAAACATTTCAAGTTAAGTGTATTTTGAACAATGTGAAGATAATGCAGAAAAAAATCTTAAGCTCCTAAGTCTTCAATAAAAATGAACAAAAATCAGTATTTCTTTATTTATTCTAGTTTATTTACCATTATTTTAAAAAAGCTAGGAAAACAGTTCCACTGACACTTTTTTCTGATCACAGAATTAGAGACGTTGAAGCCCCAGCAGTATCCTGTCCCGGAATATAGCACTAGTACACAGTGGCAAAAACCAGGTTAACTTACACTTGAATGTAATTTTACTATCTGCCTGAGGCACCATGTATTGTCTGGATTTGAAATGCTATCAAGGGGTCACAACCTTTTATGTGAAGATGCAAAAATTCTGCATTCCTCCAAGGAAAGTAATTAGCAAGTTCTTAAACACTAAGATTCTCAAAATTTCCTTGCCCTGAATAACAATATTTGATCTGCTTGGACATACATTAATAGAAGTATGCTGATACATAAGGTTAAATCATTGATCTAGCAGTAAATCTCATAAAGAAGAGGGAAAGTATATAAATAAGCACATCTGTCCATAAGCACATCTGTCTTTCCTTAACTTTATCTAACAGCATCTGTCTCAAAAAACAATGATGACAGGCCTTCCAGGGGTATGAAGTGGTGGGCAGCCATGACACATGAGTGTAGACATGCAGCCATGAGTGTCCAGCGCATCCACTGAACAACTGCCAAGGGTTATGCTGTGAAAAAACCACTTGGATATTGCCATTTATCACCACAACCTGAAATGGAAACGGGCAGAGCAAAGCAGCCTGCTGGGTGCATCTGTTATGCCTCACTGACATAGATACACATGAATAACCCTTTATCTGCCTTGCTCTCCACCTGTTGCTGCTCTTTACATGTCTTCTATGCTGAGCACAACAGCTCTGTGTTGCCTTCACTTTGTACCTTCTAAATCTTGCCCATGTATTGAGGACTGCTGCAGTAGAGCTAGCAAGACTTCATACAGTAACTGCTAAATACATCTCTCAATGCTTTTCCCCCCACTCTGATGAGTCTCTTGAGTGCCTTCTCTCCCATTCTACTCTTTATGACACTGTGAATTGAACTCAGGAAGAGAGCCTGGTTTTGTTCTGGTGTTTGTATTTATTGTTAGTGGACTTCCCTGCTAATCAGTGGAGTTGGAAGAATCATGTTTTTGGAGTCATCAAGAGTTTCCTCTGCTCTCTGTGATAAATATCAGTCTTATTTTTTGAACACAACTCAGGCATTGAAGAAGACTGCTCTGTCTCCTGACTGCCCATGGATCTGACTTTGGCAGTCAGCCGTACTGCTCTGCCAAAGAGCTGCAGCAGTGTGAGTACTGAACTGCAAATGACAACAGCTCAGGAGCCAGGTATCTATGTATTTGTTCCTCCTTGCTGAGAATGCTCTGGGCTGAACTTGGTGCTACTGTGTGTTTGTGCAGAAGGGGAAGCAATTGTATCACTGCTCCAGCAGAAATTTTTTGCTTGACCAAGAGCACAGCATGTCTAGGTTTGTGTAGTAGCACAATTCAGGTCCCCAAATAACTTTTCTACTAATTCCTGCTAGGTGAGAAACTATAGCTGTCAACAGGGTCTTGGGGATGGCCATGGTTCATCAGACAGCTTCTAATGTGCTGACCTAAACTTAACTACCTAATTCCAAACTAATTTTTAAATACCAGACTTCTTCCTGAATCAGACCATAGGCCTGCATTGTTCATAAAAATCATGCCTTTTGATACCAAGGAGCAGTGCTGTCCTTCCAACTTCAAAGAGTCACCATTTCTGTGGTACCAGAGATACACGTGGTAGCTTTACTTCAAGTAAAGCTTTTGGCAGTTTAAAAATTGAAGCCAAATTTCTTGCTGTGATAAACTTATTGAGTAAATCAGCCTTTACAGAATTTTTTTAATCTGAGAAGTTAGGATTTCTTTATTACAGTAATGTGAGAATTTTTAGATAGACAGCTGTTTTGCTGCTTAGTTGATCTCTGGCACTGCTCTGCACTGGGCTACAGGATCTGTTAAGGAAATTAGATAACATTCCATTCAGGTTTCAGCAAGTGAGAAAGCCAACTCCTCCTAGCTTTTGATTTTTACACACTACCACTGATTCATACTGCCCCAGTTCCCATGGCAGAGCCCAGACCTTCCTCTAACAATTCCAAAAATCTAAAACTCAGACAACTTAATCAACCAGGATCAGTGACGATGCAGTGACCTGCCACCCCATCTTGTTTTTCTGCATCTTCCTGTTTAATCAGGAATTTTTAATCACATTTTTAATCACATTTTGTCATCACTGTTTATTCCCCTGCTGTATTTCCAGAATAGCCAATACCATGTCAAAGGAAAACTGTACCCACACAAAGAATCTTGGAGCTGTTCCACTCAGACTGAAAGTATGAGATGTCAATTTCCCTGCAGGCCATTCCAGGTTATTTCCAAATGGGCTTACTCCATTGCAGCAAAGTGGCATGACTTCTGTCCATCTCTGATATGGTAATCTCACAGTCATCATTCCAGAAATAGTAATTTCATCTGCAGTTTGAATGGGGATACTAATACCATTCTGGAAAGTTCTATCCACTTGATTTTGGAAGCTTCCAAAGCATTCTTTAACCTCTACCCTTAACCAAACATTCCACCTCCCTTCACCACAGTGTTCTTGGCAAACAATTGGATTGTGCAGGGAGCAACTCTGTGTCTTTTCCCCTTCCTCTAAGATTCACCTATGCTTTATGGTTGCATCTTGCCCAACACAGCTCAACCATTCATGTCTGAATGCCCTGCCCAGGGAGGAATATGTATTTGATCCTTAGCAAGGCTCATCCTCCCCACCTGTTACTTGTTTGGCAAGTGACCCCAAATTTCAGGGTTTAAAGCCCTGAAGTCATAATCCACACCCAAGTGAAAGCAGCAAAGCAAACCAGTTTGAGCAGCTGGCAACAGGAAAAAGCTGTATTTGGTGTTTGCACTGCCACGTGCTCCACCCAGAGCTGTCATTTAAGGTGCTGCTTCCAGTACGAATCCTGGCTGCCCACAAAAAGAGCACTAAGGGACTTTGACTAGATCCAGGCAGAGGATAACAGGACTTTTTAAAACAAGAATGCAGAGGAAAACATGTTACTCTCTGCTGCCAGCCTGGGCAAAGGTGAGCCCCCCGCACCCTGGCAGCTTTGGCTTCCCAATTTCTGGCAATGCTGCAGCAAGCTGCATACCGAGCAGTAGAAGTAAATGGTACCTACACAATTGGCCTTTTAAATGTTATACTGGCTTTTGGTAACTTAAAGAGCTCCCCTTCTTAAAGAACTTTAATGGTACTTTCTACTGTCCCTTTTATGGCAAATGCATACTAAGAGGAAGTGCATGTGACACAAGTATTGTGTGTATAGACAGTTGAGCAGGGAAAAGGGGAAGGAAAGAAGGGGCAAAGGCACAGTTAGGACTTGAATGTAATAAATAACTTCTTCCTATGGAGGCATTGTAAGAGATCTCAGGGATTTCCAGGCAAGTAATTGAAGGGTGTGTCCAGACTTAAGAGATGATGAAGTACACCTTGTGATCACAGACCACACCCAGGAGCACAAGGCTTTGTAGATTACAGTACAGGTACATATGGGGCAGATGGTTTGCTACTGAATATACAGCACCACAAACCCTTGATTTCCATAGTGTACATTCATCTTCAACTAGAGATTAGCTGGAGTTGCTTCTTTATTTAGTCTACACTCACACATTCTGACTTATCTTTGCCAAGTTACTTTCAGTAACTTTTAGCCTATCTAATGGCAGGCACATTTAATCCATGAAATGCTTTCTTGACCATTTCTTCCTCAAATGACTACGCTGATATTAAATAGGAGACAAAGGTGCCTTTAAGTTCTGTGAAATTCTAGAACAACTAAGCTAATTTTACAGGTTTCTGTTTTACCCACTTATGTTACAGTGCAAACTGAAGTGCATCCTTATAAATTCAGCGAATAAATTCAGTTTTCTCACTCCTTAAATGCAGCTTTATCCCACAGAGAACTGAAGAATAGTTGATCCACATGAAGTATTCCCTGTATCAAAGCTTCTTATCTATCCTGGAAGGAGCAGCAGCAGCAGCTAGTTGCAATGGGATGTAATGGCTTTTTTTGGATCAAGACAACATTCTTCAGATGCTTAGTCCCAGAGCACTCTGTCACCCCCTCCCACAAGGGGAGCATAAGTATCCTTTTCTCTAGAAGTTAATAATGTGTCTTCAACTGCTTTTCAGGCAATAGAAAAGTTACCTTTAATAATTTTAGAAACTGTCATACGTACCAGTGTTTTGTTCCTTATAAAGCTGCTGTCCTAACTCTTGTGTTTTTATAGTCTCTTTTGTCCTCATAATAGCAAGAAGTAGTTCCTACACCATCCAAGCTGGAGTTTTAGTGCTACAGAGAATCCCTCCCACTTATTTTAAGTGAGGCTTATCCAGTGCTATTAACACATTAGGGCACCCTGAGGACAATTTCAGTACTTGTTAATTCAGCTGGCCCAACAACTCTACTTACTGGTATTTTAAAAACCATCCAATGTCATTCCAGCCTAGGTACTTGTAAGTGTGCAACTGACTCTCCAAATGAAAATGGACATCATATAATGGCTAACTGGTTCACAATTCACACATGAAAGCTTCTGTAAAAAGCTGGCTGTTCTCAAGCACTTAACCAATAGGTAATCTGTGTTCATTTTTGCAGAATACATGAGAGAACTGTGCCATTGTTCATGCGTTGTTTAGCATCATACCTACCTCTGTCATACATACCAACATGATGTATAAATCCTGTTGGGAAAGATTCAGATCAGACCCAGTCCCTGCCTTGTGCCCAAGGCACCCTTCCTGACATCTGACTCCAGACAGACCATGACATGAGCTACAGTGTGGATGCCCTGGATGAATTCAGGTGTGGACCTAAATGAAAGCTGCAGTTCTGCCTCTGCTGGAGCTGCATTGCCAGGAATAGTGGGGTAATGCTCCATGTCTGGGAGCTGCAAGAACCAGTGCATGTACTGCAGGCTTGGTGTGGGCTCCAGGGACATCTCAATTGTGTGACAGGCTCAGCCTCTGGATTTAACTGGGCTTTTCTCTGTGCAAGGCTGAATAGCCTTAGTAATTATGGTCTATTTTAAATGGGTTTTGAGTTCATGTAATTTCCTTCTATTTTTTTCATGTTAGTAAACACTACTGGCTATATAAAATAGCCACTATCACATTTAAAATAAACTTCCCATGGATTTGTACACAAAAATAATAGCAGAGAGTCAGGAAATTATGAGAGTCTCCTGCAAGATACTCTGTAAACAAAGATTCTGTAAATACTGCCTGGTGTTCACTGTTGCAGACCTTCTCCATCAGATATTTTGCATCCAAGCTAACTGCACTGAGTACAGAAGTTAGTGTGAGACCATTTGGCAAAGGCAAGTGTTTAATCACAGGTGAGGATATTTTCTTTCACACTATGAAAGGCAGGTTGATGGTTTATTTCTTGCACTGCAATAATAGCTAAAGGCATTTGTCCAGATTGTTCTTCTGGGTCAGCTATTCAAGCTGTTGTCAAAACTAAATACAGTCCTGAACAATCCCCTTCCTCTTAATTACACCACTGCTTTACATTTAATAAGGGAGGGTATTTCATTTTGACTGTTTTAGGTAGCCTTTCAACTTAAGAATTAAGCTCTTCCTAAATGTGAGAATTATTTTGTACATATATAAAAGTAAAATGTTTTATTGTAAAACTGTTCCTGAAATGTATATCAAAAAAGTGCACTTCTGAATGCTAAAGCCACATACTTCATGCATCTGTCATATGTGTTAAGGAGACACGTATCAGACACGAGCTTTTCCAGTATTTTTTCCACTATGACCAAGTAAGTTAGAAATGCACCCTCCTATTTTCTAAATATTTATATTCATACCATCAAGCAGATGAGACCCATGTAGATGAACTTCTGCAGGAATCATTCAGACATGGTACTGCACCCATTTCCAACATTAGTGTTGGCATATAATACAACAACTTCTCCAAACAGCACAGACTAAGGACAGGATGCCATCCACAGGGATTTGGACGAGCTCCAGGAGTAGGCCCATGAGAACCTTGTGAGTTTTAACAAGACCCACTGTTGGTGCTGCATCTAGGTCAAGGTATCAGCACAGGCTGAGGATGGACAGATCCAGAGCAGCCCTGCCCAGAGGGACTTGGGGGTGCTGCTGGCTGAGAGGCTGGACATGAGCCAGCCATGGGCACTCCCAGCCCAGAGAGCCACACGTGTCCTGGGCTGCATCCAGAGCAGTGTGGGCAGCAGGGCCAGGGAGGGGATTCTGCCCCTCTGCTCTGCTCTGTGAGACCCCAGCTGCAGGGCTGCATCAGCTCTGGGGTGCCAGCACAGGAAGGACAGGGAGCTGCTGGAGTGACTCCAGAGGAGGGCCACCAAGATGATTAGAAGGGTGGAGCATCTCTCCTATGAGGAAAGGCTGAGAGAATTTGTATTGTTCAGCCTAGAAATGAGATGAATTAGGAGTGATTAATTGGGGCCTTCCAGTATCTAAAGAGGAGCCTTACAAGAAAGCTGGAGAAGGATGTTTTACCAGGGTGTGTAGTGACAAGACAAGGGGGAAATGGCTCCAAACTGAAAGAGAGCAGATGTTAGATATTAGGAAAAAATTCTTTAATGTGAAGGTGGTGAGGGAATACCCCAAGTTTCCCAGAGAAGTCACAGATGTCTCATCCCTGGAGGTGTTCAAGACCCAGGGTGGATGGAGCTCTGAGTAACCTCATCTAGTAGAAGGTGTCCCTTCCCATGGCAAAGGGGTTGGAACTAGATGGCCTTTCAAGTCTCTTCCAGCCCATTCCATGATATGCAGCAGCCTTTCTCAGTTTTTAAATGGACTAGTGTGAGTAGCTCAAGGTGTAGAGCTCTTGGTAGGAAATTGCTAAGCAGAGACAACAGAATTCAGAATAGTCAGTATTCTAAATTGTAGCGATGATATTTTATGAAAAATCCTTTGCTAGGATTTTTCCTTCCTGAGGAGCTGGGAACCTCAAGAAAGGAATGTAAACAATAACTCTCTGCTGCTGTGGAATGCCACAGGTGCATCTTCCATTGGTCCATGTGGATTGTTTTCACTTGATGACCAGTCACAGCCACCTGTGTCAAGGCTGTGAGCAGTCACAAGATTTTGTTATGCATTCTATTCTTGTTCTTTCTAGCTGTCTGATGAATCTTTTCTCTCTGTTCTTTTAGTATTTATGTAGTATTTTAATATAATATATATCATAAGATAATAAACCAGCCTTCTGAAATGGAGTCAAGCCTTGCGCCTCCACACATGGGGAGTTCCCAATACCAAATGACTCAGATAATCAGGCAATTGCATGCTCAAAGTACACTATCTGGAAACATAGGGACCTCTTTTTATGTGTAATTACTAAATAGGTCAGGTCAGTCTCTAATTTGGCAAAGCTCATATACATGAACACATAGTTCAGGATTAGAACTAATTGAATAAAAAAATTCTATTTCTATAATAGCTCACACACCTTAAGTGTTGTCCCTTCACATTGGAGTGTCATTATTGCTCTTTCATAGTATCAGTGAATTTAAGGGTGTTTTACTAACACACAGCATTTTCTAAATTTCAGGAAGGAAACATGGACAATATGTGTGAATGTATATATATATATATGTGTATATATAGTCAGCAAATGAGGCAGAGTTACAGCAAGCTTTAAAATATTTTCAAAAGTGAAATTAATTATTTCCTGTTGTTTTTTTGGTTTGTTTGTTCCTTTTTCAGTAAAGAAGTAAGAACAAGAAAAATTACTTTTTTCATAGACTTCTATGTTCTTCATAAGTCGTAATTCATAAATAAACTAAATTACTTGACAGTACTTGATTGCAAGATGGCAACTGCATTTCAGGTGTGTAACTGAAACTCTTTGTACCAGCGGATCTGCATTTAACCAACAACAAATATAAGAATAAAAACTGCTGGAGTAGAGTCAACACACAGGGGAATTGGAAGAACTGAGAAGGAAGACTGTGCTACATTCTCCTGGTTTAATTTTTCCAGTATTGTGTTTTACTTACTTGCTATTTATATTTAATTGTTCAGGACTGTATTTTAGTATTTGTATTTGGGTGAGTTTTAAATAATTTTTTAATTAATACCCTGCAAAACATATGCATGAAAATACAGCAGTGTAAGGGGAGAAGTGGGAAAAGTTAACATCTGGTTTCCTAAATATTCTCCTCCCACGTTTTTCCCTCCTTCCAAAGATAAAGTAAAACTCACTTCTTGCTTTCATGAACTAAGATCAAACTGCAAACATAATCTTACAAATAGTGCTGCTATTTGGCTCAAGACACAGCTGTGACAGTTGTTATTACAGTAATTTCAATATCTATTTTATTGTAACTCAAAGTGAAACCTTAAACTACTTAAGCCTGAAAGTTCCCCATGAATTTAACTTTTCATGTATTTTGTTCTCTCAAAGCAAGCTGTATGTCTTACTTTAAATGGAACCAGGCTTATCTCAATAATGGAGGATTTAAATAGGTGAGCCACGTGAACATCAGCTACGCTTTCAGAAAGGTGCCAAAAAAAAAAAATCGTGCTACTTACTCCAAGTACAAAACTAGTGAACATCTATTAACTTCAATGACAGTCAGTGCTATGAAGACAGTAGGAACTGGAACATACACCAAAAAGTGATAACAAATGGATTTCTGATACTGAAAAGGATACATCTAATTCACTCTGCAAGGAAAAGAGATAGACAGCATTAGTTACAGTTTGATCTCTTATCTCAGATGATCTCATCTCACGATCATTAAGCATAACACATCCCTTCAAAGGATAAAAAAAGTCTTCAAAATAATGATATGAAATTTTAGAGTGATTCAGATTTCTGTTCTGGACTGGACAATGCCATGCTCTTTCCTGCAACACTGCTTTGCTTTACACGTGTTATCTGTCTCTGTAATCAAAGCTAATGTTTTACTTTAAAAAACTCACTGAGGTCACCTACAAGTAACAATCTGAATATGGGCAGTGCCATCTGAGTGAGTGGGTGGGTGGATAACCAGCAGCTCTAATCATGGCAGTTCCAGCCCTATATTCTCTCTTCCTCCTCCTGCAACACCAGGACAATACATAGTTAAAGTTGTTGCTGCAGATCATTTCAATAGCAAAATCTAGACACTGCATATACCCATGGCTGTGGTAGTGGCTGCATATATTAGGAAAGGCAAGGTAACTCCAAGCTTTGGACCCTTGGCACTTCTAAGTACACTCCAGCCCCAGCAGCACAATTCTTCATGTAGTCATCATTTCCCTTCTATTTTTGGATTTACCCCAAGCAGTATTACTCATTTAACCAAAATGTGTGAGTTGGAAGCCCTTGTGGTCTCTCTGCAGTCAGCAGAAGAGATGGGCATCTTCACCAGTTGACTCGGCACACTTGAGGCATGACTCACTTTCTAGAGATACTCATCGGCCTCCACTGCCAGTAAAGGGAGCTCAGGATGACCAGATTTCTAACTTAGGTGCCTCAGTTAAATAGCTAAACTTAGAAAGAAATAATCCCAGCCTTAGCATTTAAGATCTTACTGAGTTGGGTGGAGATTCCCCAGTCTCTAGTAAAAGAGGGAATCTTTACCTGCTGCCTAGAGAATTTAGTTTGATAATGTGGTTTTCATTCATGGTCTGAACCTGGTTTTAAGGCAGAGTAAAGCTGGAAAGGTTTTACTCATAGAATTGCTACTACTTCTGTGGTCTAAAGATGATCTAAACTGGACTAGTTCTAGTCTACAGGCCTCTGCTGAGTGACTCTGCCATTTTTAATTAGAAATTTTTAATGCATCACAGAAACTGCATTTTAAGGGCCTGATCAGTTTAAGTTTTCTCAGCATTAAAACATAGTTGGAGACATTGGAATTCTGACCAGCATGCAGAATTTTTCTTGGGTAGCCATATAAAAGTGAAGGGGACTCAGAACTACATCTCACAAGCAACTTTGAAAGCTTTCCCCCTAATTCCATTAATGTTTGTTCCTATATCTAAATTCAAGCTCTGTAAACTCCATTAGATAAAAATAGAGTACGTGAGAATGTTTAAAGCTCTCAAGTCTAAAAATAATAGATGACAAAATGTCCTTCTAGAGTAGGACACGTTCTCTCCTTTCCCAGAGTTCTGCCTCTGTTGCCACCATCATAATTTGGGATTCTGCTAAAATTCTGCAAATCCTAAACAGTAATCTGTAAAAGTACAGATTTATACTTTCTTGCTCTGTGGTTACTGCCAGAAACCCCAGCTAGAATTACAGCCCTTAGTCTTAGTGCTCTGCCATTTACTGTGTTATATGATATTAAAACCAGAACCATCAAATGGCATGAGATTTCTTTTAGCACCCCCCTTTTAGGTTCCTCTGTCTCAAACCCAAAATGCTATGGAAAATAAAAAAAAACCCTCTGGTATGATGAACTCAGCAAATTTCCAACAGCTATCAGTGGTTGGGTTATATGTGTGGTCAAAGGATTATATATATACTACATTTATGTGTATAAGAACTACATTTCTATTTTTGCTCTGTTTTAATTGAATAAAATTTGAGAGGTTGGCAACTATTAGCTCAAACAGACAAATAAGATGTGACTAAATTTTATTGTGCATTCCTGTGCTGCTGAGATCTAATCCCATTCCTGGTTGTCACTGCTTAGTTTGGGACTAAGCACTAATTGCTGACTAATAGTCAGCAATTTTAAGAGAAATTCTGAGCTCAGTGCAGTCAGAAAGTGATATACTTAGTACCAGCAGTTTCCCTGGGCTGGGGCGACATCAGTTGAGATAACAGCCTAAAAGATTTGCCAAGCATCTAAAGGGTGCAGAGGGCTTTTTCAAGCATGTCCTTGAATTCACAGAGGCAGCTCTGCCATGCCTGCTATGGTGCTAGAACTGGGAAAGCAGTTATAGACCCTGCATACTGATATCTTTTATGTACAGTTACCTGTGTGGTACCCTCAAGTACATGGACTACAGAGGAAATTATCCAGTCCTCTTTTCCGGAGGGATATCCAACATTTCAGCAGAGGTTAACTGAAACTGTGCCAAAGTATGATTCCAGTAATTTATTTTTTTTTTGTAACAAGATTATTACAAACCCTATATTAAATAGCAAATATTCTAACCAGAATTACAGTGCTGCATTTTCAAACTTTGTAAAAACAAGCAAGCAAAAAATTCCCACCATCAAAAGGAACAGTGTAATTTTAAATGGAGGCATGTGTGATGTTGAATCCTTAACAAAATTACTATCTCTATAATTGTTGTTTTATCAGATATCCACTGTTGCCTGACAACAATATGGAGAGTACAAGTACAGACTGGTTTTTGAGGTTTCTTTTGCTCCATTCCTCTGATCTTGTTCAGTGAGAGTGATGTCAGTTCCCTGCTTCATGCTTGCACCATCTTAATCATGAATGAAATTTATTTGGGGAACGTAATGCTATATAGTGCATAAGAACTGCAAAGTAAACCCTCTTTATTTCCTTAAAACATATAAAATGCCCATGGCTAATTTAAGAGTATATGACCCAAAGAAACCCCATAAAACCCATAAACCCATCTTTTCTAACAGAAATATTTCTGGTATTCCTTGTCTGATAATTTATAACCCATGTATACTTTTACTTCTCTGAAAAGTCAGATCATACTGCCTTTCCCTACAGTGATAATATTTATCAAAATTCTAAAATATTAAATATTTTTCTCCTTTGATTTATTCTCTGAAATTACACTTCCACCAAAGTTTTGAAAGAGAAAAAATGTTTCATAACAGATTCAGTGTCTCACTCACCACTCTGCTGAAGTATTTGTCCAAAACTTCCACAAAATTATGAATTAGTTCATATACTGCCATCTCATTCTGAAATTAAAATCAACTCAATGTTAAATCAACATCTAGAAAATGTAATAGTATTCTTTGTGTAAATTCAGTCTGTGTGGAATAAAAAGCCACTGGACAATAGAGTAAGCCCTCTGCTCAGGCCATGTAGTCATGCAGCTGAGGTGCTGAGAGCTGGGCAGCGCTCAGGGCAGAAGCTCTGGGCTGGCCACGCAGAGCAGCTCTAACAGACAATGGATTCTCTCACCTGGGCTGCTGCCATCCCTCTGCAGCCCTTGTCCCACCCCCTCCCAGCTCAGCTCTGTGGACACACACAGCTAACTAGGTTAATCTTACCCATGCTGAAATCACACCAGCCAGCTGTAGCACAGAGCCAGCCTCTGCTGGGCGATATCTGTAGCAAAGCCAAAATAATTTGTCCCAAATTGCCTGCCATGATAACCCTGACTTGAAGGTACTGTGGTAGGCAACAGCTACCTTCCACAGCACCCTGTTATCATCTCCAATAGTAAGTGCTGAACTAATGTCGGAGAACCAGTTATCAATGTAAACACTAAGGCCTCCCAGGTGCAACCTGAACATATGAAATAACAGTACTTGTCAGCTTTCAGATACCTTTCTTTTATTCCCCCTTTTTGAAAAGCAAAATAAATTGGCATCTTTATAGCTGAAAGTATAGGAATTTTTTCTTTGGCCAAGGACTTTAAAAACAGAGAGAAGTCACCACAGATGAGACAGCTGACCTGCCTGTAACACTAACATTTGTTGAGAAACTCTACCTCACATAAATTAGTGCAGAATCAGTACAAGGCTCAGGAAGACTATCTCATGGTAACAGTTCATTCTACTGCTAAAGACCAAAGTCAAACATAGCACACTGGCTTTTATATGTCTCTTACTTCACAGAAATAAAAAATTTTGGGGGGAGGGGCTTTGTTTGTAATTTCTTACCTCTGTCTGGTCGATGCCAACAACTATGAAGAGGGCTGCATACTGCCGGTACACCAGCTTGAAGTCCTTATACTCAACAAAAGAGCACTAGGCAGAAGTAAAATGAGTCAAATATAGCAGTTGCCATTTAAGCATACAACAGTATAAAGCACATTGTTCAAAGGACCTGAGCTTTCAGCTTCGTAAGACCCACAGTGAACACGGATTTGCCAACACTCATCAATTTTAACTTGAAAGAAATGTAGTACAGTAACTGTTACACCACACTTTTCATCTGCTGGCAGAAAACATGCCACCACTTTTTAAGTGAAAAAACTGAAACACGCAGAACTGAAGTGACTTGTTTGGTGTTATAAAGGCACCCAATACTTTCCCACAATTTTCATTTCCAAGTCCTTTCAAAAAGAGACCTAAAGGTAATTTTCATATTTTAAAAAGTACCAACATTTTAATGTAAAAATCAAAAATATTAGACTTCCAGAGCCAGTGGGGAATTAGCATGTCTTTCCCAACGGGAGGGAGCCAGGAGATGGCGCCGTTTCACGCCGCTGGAGGAGGTGCCGCCGCCTTTTCTCTCCGCGTCGTTTCGGTGCTCGGTGCCCGAAATGGCAGCGGCAGCGCCGGCAGCTCCTGCGCTGGAGCCTGGCTCGGGAATGCCCTGGCAGGAGCAGCACGAAGACGTGCCTTTCTTCAGCCACTGTCAAAGCTGCGAACTAAGGGACTTATAAGAACTGTTATTTTGATTGAGGTTTCCCAGAACGAAGTATGTGAGAAGTGCTGTGCAGGAACACACAACATTAATGAAAAGTAAAGCTGACTTCAGAACAGAAACCAATAAACTTAATTCACTGTCCAAGTTCCACATTTCTCCTCTAGTTCAAGTCAATATGCAAAAGTTTGGTGCTTTTCTTAAAGAACCAACAACTTAATTAAAGAGAGCAATGAAAATCTCAACTTTCATCCAAAACATTTTTCAACTTCTATGTTTTCTGGCTTTCTTGCAGAACACATAAACTCTTCTTTTGAATAAAGAAGTCTAATACGAAGGCCTAAAAATTTGTGTTTCCAAACTCCTCTGTGCTTTAGATAATGTTTTCATAATTTGGAATCCTCTACCCTAAGTTTAAACTTGGAGCTGTCAGTACTCTGCCTTCTACCTTCTGGCAAAACTGTAATATCTCAGTAAAACCAGTAATAACAGTAATAAAAATGAGTTTTTCATTGCATCTGAGCTTCTTCAAACAAAGAAGAGGAATCTTCATGACAGTGATACATACAACTCCAAAATCTACGTAAGCCTCAGAAAAATATATTTATTCAATACAGAATAACAGTCCAACTGACTGAAGCCACAATCTTGAAACTCGATCTTTTGTATTGTGAGTACAAATGAGATAATGACCTGCAATGGACACTGATAGGTTTCAGAATTATCAATAGGAAAGGTGTGAGATGTGGATGAAATAATACCTACAAAACCTACCTCATCCTTCGAACGGGAAAGACAGTTTTTGATTACTTCAGCTTCCAGCATTGTCCGTTTATTAATTTCTACATGCTCATAATACCTGGACAGTCTTGTTTGACCTTGTTTGTTAACCATAAGAAAAAATTTTATCATTTCTTCTCTGTTAATTTCAGTGGTAGATTTCAATTTTGGGTGCAGAAATCAGGACCAGTATTTCTGGGAGCAGAAAAAAAAAAAAAGAGTAGTAATACATAGGAATAAAGACTTCCTAAAAGCTATCCACCCCAGGTATGCATATATTTATGACTGAGTTTCTTGCCAAAACATACAACATTTAAAAAAAAATCTCAAATCTTCTGCACACATCCCATGGAAAAACTCCCTTTTTCCCCACACAACTATTCAAAAACTATCTAAATAAATAACAGCTTTCACATTTGAAATTTTCACATTTCAATCAAATTAATTTTTTGATAGGATTTGGGAAATTGGATGAGTAAACAATTACTTCTTCAGAACCATAAATCTACTCACCATTTTCTTCCTGCATCCTAACTGGTTTGCAAACATCAGAAATTTGCCCAATACCAAACCACACTAATACAGTTCCTAAGAGCAAACTTTGCCCATAAACATTCCTCCACCCTGACTTGTATTTAAGAATTACAATCATACCAATGCCATATCAGATTGAATAGAGAGATGACAAAGGGAAATGCATGGGCCACAACATTTGATCATTTCTTTAATGCAGAATGAGAGACTCCTAAATATTTGGGTATCTGAGCTGGACCAGGCGCTACTGAAATCCATCTTCTGCTGTCTGATTTCCCACACTGATGCAAAAGATAAATTCTGCACTTAATGAAAACTAAGTGTGGGTCTTCAACAGCTAAGGAGAAATTGGTTCACATTAATTACTCGAATGAGCTTTATCTCAATATAAATTAATATTAATCCACCCAACACCACTGAAATATAGCTGTAGAATATAAATACGCCACATGCAATGTATAGTGAAAAAGAGCATTAAAATAGCACAGCATATGTCAGAATCTGCTTGCTAAACAGTTGACATCTCGGATGTTTTGAAAAGCATGAAAATAGAGTAAGCTGTAGATGTAATTTTTTGAAATAGAAATTCTGGGTTATTTTCTTTAATGCCTGAGAACAATCACTGTAATGTTTTCCATCTGATTTCTATTTGCATCCCAGATTTATTGGCCCAAATAATCTTGAGGTTTATGCACTAGAATTACAACAACTACTGCAAAAGTTATTCCTTTTTTTCCAGTTCTGAAGAGTTGGTCCTTACCTGGTGCATCTTAGGTCTCACAGCTTCTGTGACAAAGTTTAAACAGAAAATACCTATCAGGAATCCACAATCTACATACCGTGTAGCTCTTTCAGTAAGAACAGTGTATCTTAATGCAGAAAAACAACAGGGAAAAAAATACAAGGCAAGCTCCATAGGTGCTGCATTATATTACTAGCAATTTGAATAAACTGGCTATACACCATCCATGCGTGAAAAATCATTCATGACAGCGAAGCAACAAGTCCCAATGTATTGTGCTAACATTAATTATTGCTGACTTCTGATTCACAGTGGCCACTGTTTTCTGAAAAGCCACCTCTTTTACCATCACTTGGATGTCAAGAAAGTGACCTTTTTTCTCAGTGTACTGTGGTTTAATCTATCTACAAAGAAGTTTATATTTCAATATGTAATTTCAAATGTATTTTTACTGATTTGACTTGATACTGAGAATTCATTCATAGTTGAGTGACACATAGTTCAGGATCAGTCCTCAAGATAACAGAATCTATTTGGAATCATGACAATCTCAGCACTTTCTTACCTCTTCCCGGCACGTGGAGCCTCTTGAGGAACGCACTTGTGCTGCGTCACACCGACAGCGGAGTCGTGGATGCTGGTCACTGCTGCTGCCGTGGGCTTCTGAATCAACACGAGTTTGGCCCTGAGAAAGAATGAACAGGTCATTAAGATAAAAAAAGGACCCAGATAGAAATGTATGATGGGATCCTCACTGTTGGAGGCAAGTAGTCTGACATTGATGACTAATGGGAAACTACCATCTACAATCTTTGCTGTTTTTAGTATATGGCTCTTTTTTCCCCCCCACATTCTATTTTGAAGTTAGAGTTGCAGTAAGATGTCTTAATATTTTTAAGCATGAAGTTGAAATACTAAGATGATGTAGTCAGTTTTTGATAAAAACTTTCCAAGAAGGACAAGAACGATTGACTCCTTCCATCTCAGAATTAAGCCCCCTAGCAAGAGCCAACCTCATGACAGAAGGAACCTGAAACTTTAAAGCGGCTTAAGAAGGAGCTGTGGCATGAAAGAGAAACAATCTAAGAAATGCTGCCCATTGTTTTAAGCAAGCTCAGATACAGGAGACCAACTGAAAAAGATATCTGTCCATGTTAAACAGATAGTAACAGTGGCATAGACAGCTTTTCTTTTTTCATATGAGTTTTACATTTTGGCACTGCTGAAAGGAGAATTAATGGTTCTCTGTTTTGATCCAAGCTATTTTAATAATTTAATCATAAATGGTACCAAGGGCTTGAGAAAAGGAGGACAGGGAGAACTACCCCAAGAGCACTGATAGAGCTGTTGTACTTTGAGTTACTGTTAAGCAACACATAACAGCAAAAAATCCTATTGCAGGATTGGCCCTTAATCCTAATTATTCCTTTATTAACCTAATCTTTGTACATGGTTAATCCCTTTCTGATGTTATGACTATTTTATCTGCATGTATCCTTATGAATGGCCTGGATTGTTTTACAGATGAAAATATTAAGACCAGATTGGTTTTTTTAAGGATCTGCACAAATGCTCTTATCCAGAAAAAACTACTAAGGTTGTAACCGAGGCAGAACCACAGTAGCACTCAAAAGTATTATCTGTAATTTATGAGACAACTATTTTTCATAGGATTGGAAAACATAATCAACAACTTTTGAATCTGTAGGAAAGAAGTCCACTCTTTCTGTAGCCATTTCTGTATTTTTCCACCAGCTCCAAAGAGAAGTTTCAAGATTTTAACCAGAAGTTTTGTTCCTATAAATGGCAGCACAAGCACACAGTTTTGTGCAGGAAAAAAGTGGAATAAATTAACAAGTTCAAATAATAACTTTGTAAAAATTTACAAAAAAGTATGCAAGCATAGTTGACTTTGAGAATAATGCTAGTGTTAAAAACATCTTAAGGGGTTTCTTTTTTTCCTTTAGAACTAATTCTGAAAAAAATTCACTTGTAGTAGTAAAAGCATCTGCTTGTACACTTTAGGCAAAAGGATAAGGACTGAGTTTTGTTTCTAACAAACAGAATTTATTTATTCTCTTTTCATCTTCACTTTCAGATACAGAAAACACATTAAAATTAGTTTTGCATATATAGGATATACAGAAACCAGTGAAGTATAATAAAAAAAAAGCATATCAGTGTATGCTGATGGGTAAAGAAACCCATCCCATCAACTTCTTTGTATTTGAGAAGCTACCTTTTATGATCAGTAATCAGTACTCTGCTTAAAAAGCCAGCTACCTTTCCTCTGGCACAACTCTGACATGCTTTTCTGAGCATTCTCACGCACATGTCTGCGTGTATCCAGGCACACACACACAGATTACGATGCTTTTATGCATGCAGAATCAAATGGTTCAAGGGAATTGGTGAGAGGATGCAAGCCTTTCGTATCTCTGCCATTATTTTGCTCATTTTAGTAATGAAAAGACATCACTATCTGAAGGCTGTTTGTCAGAAATGAATGGGCTCTCTCATTCCAGGTCACTGGACAACTATCTGCATCACAAATGCGCTTAGGAACCGAAGACTGGAAGGGACCATCGAGATCCTGATGGACTGTCAAGTCCAACTCTCTCCATCCCAGTCAGCCATGCATTAGAAATTTTGTCCAGAAAGCCTATGGTATATGCTTCCTTGCATGTCCTGCATACCCAATCTACAGAACACCTATGGAACTCTATCACAGAATGAAGAATCCCTAAAAACAAAAACCTCAGAAGATATTGCTTGGGGAAGATGCAACAAGTCTGGAAACTGCAAACTTTCCTTCAAAAGAAATTACCTTCTGGAGCGACTATCTAGCACTCTCCTTTACTTACAAAGTACATCTTCTGTAAGGATAATTTGGCATGCATGCAGATGACATACAGTTTTTCTACTGAGATTTAAATATGAGCTGTAACAGTGTGTTAGATCTCACCCTCATTAAAGTATCTCTTGCAGATAAGTATCTGTGAGAGAAAATTCATACCGTGATTGGCCTGTGTGACTCACACTGCCAGGCTGACATGGTTCAGGAGCTGCTTCCAGGACATGTCAGCTCTGCAGGCTGCATAACCACATGAGACACCTCAAGTAACTCATCCCTGTTTGAGTGACACTCCTTTTCAGATAACAGCTGAGACCTCACAGAGAGGCAAAGCCTGCAATACCTGTTCTGCAGATAAAAAGATCTTAAGTCTCCCAGGAGGCCAACCCAGCTGATTCTACATGCAGTAATATAAAACATATTTAAAATATAATTTTAATTATTCCTTTGGTATAGATACAGGCACTGAATTTAGTTTGTCACAGATTTCACCAATATTTATACATAATCTGACACATAAATTATAAAAAAAGAAACACAACCTAAGTTTGAATTGTACTTGGCAGTACAGCTGCAATTCAAATTAGACAACATGTCTCTCAAACTAAAACCACACCAGTCAATGTCTACAGATTTAGAAGTATTTTAGTTACTTCAGTCTAAGAAAGGTTTGCAACATTCTAGGGCTCTTAGCTAGAATGTAAGAGATAGAATCTCACAAAAAAGAAATGGCATGACTACATATTTACAGAACTGCTTCACCAAGAATTAAAAATAAATGTTAGATAGAATTATAGGCAAATAATGTACTTCCCTGTCCAACTCTAAACAAGTTGATTTTCTGGATGCACTTTACGTGTGTATGAAATGTAAAATCATAGAATATTCTGAGTTAGAAGGGACCAACAAAGATCATTGAGTGCAGCTCCTGGCCCTGCACAGAAAATCCCAAGTCACATCCTGTGCCCGAGAGTATTGTCCAAAAGCTTCTTGAACTCTGTCGCTGACCCAGCTCAGCGCTGTGACCACTGCCCTGGGGAGCCTGTTCTGGTGCCCAACCACCCTCTGGATGAAGAACCTTTTCCTGATATCCCACCTAAGCCTCCCCTGGCACAGCTTCAGGGCACTCTCTCGGGTCCCTCAGGGGCTGTCACTGGGCACCAGAGGAGATCAGTGCCTGCCTCTCCTCTTCCCCTCACAAGGAAATTGTTGACTGCAGTGAGGTGTCCCCTCAGACTCGTGACCTCAGCTGCTCCCCATATGCCTTCCCTTCCACGCCCTTCACCAAGTGCAGAACAAAATGGGTTACACGGGAATGAAAGCATTAATGAAAATTTTAAAACGGCTAAATGATAGAGGCATGAAGCACAAGGAGGTGTAGCAAAAGGAACAAGTATTTTTTGTATTTTTGTTTATTGAGCTTCTATAGATTTCTTGCACAAAACCATGTAGCAAATGAAGACCGCACACATAATCACAACCACTGGTCTTCCTACTTTTGTTCTGTCAGTTAATAAAACCACATACTATTTTAAATTTACCAGTAATTTTTGCAGTCTAGTTTATTACCGTGCCCGTAACAATTCATCAAAAAGATGAAACAAGTATATCTGTGTAGCTTTAAAATAAAACACTGTGTTCAATTTCAGGACAGGGATTTTTTAAAAAAGGAACCTTAATTATGTAGGGAAGTCAAGAGAGGAAGGAAAGAATAAAAACGTTTTCCTTTGCTGTTGTCAAAATGCTGGCTGAATATAGTAACGGAATTAAACTGCAATAATTCCCGTATACTCAGGAATGAGGAATGTCCTGAACAACTGCAGCTAAACAAAAGGTTAAACTAGTTATGAGCTAAGTCTCGGTTTTTAATAATGATTTGGTAACTGTCAGTAGACAATAAAAAGAAATCAGCTGAGGTGGAAAGGAGCTAGATTCAGATTGCCTAATCAGTATGGAATCAGGAAGAATGGACAATGACATTTTAGTAGGAAATGATTTAATGGAGAAGAAAGGAAGCACTGGATGAACTAACTGAGCATCAATACACACCTACGGAGAGACTGCTAAAGAAAGGAAACACCAGTACTAAGACAAACAGTATTTTTTCCAGTAATTAACAGAATTCCAGGTTTGTCAAGAATCGACCTTTTTTAGGAAACTACCCATTTAGTGAATGAGTACAGCATGTAAATTTTTGAAGAGAGGCAAAACCAAAGACCTACCTCATTTAAAATGGGTAACCTATGGATCATTTGAAATTGGATGTGACAATAATTTTTAAGTATTACATTTCAGAGTAGTATTTTGCAACCGAGGCAATTTCACCATATTCAAACTACAGCCTCAAACACTGCATTGCTAACACTGGTAAAACTCAGCCAGATAAAATAGATCAGTAATTTCTTGCAAAACCACCCTCACGTGGAAGAGTTTTGAACAGCGAACATGGTGCACTCTTCCTCCTCATGGAGGGAATACATTACACGCATCGCAACCGAGGTATCATGAAGACAACCAGAGATTAGCCAGCTTCCAGAAACATACCGTAAATTTAATGTACCCATTCTAAACCACCTCTTTCTAGGGCAAACCCAGCGCACATTAAACAGCGCAGAGTCTCAAAAACAGAAGTGCTGGACGCGCGCTGCGCCTCGCTTTAGGACGCGGGCCCCGGCCCGGCCGCATTCCCGCCCACTCCTCCAGGCGCTCGGCACTCCCGAGCGGCGGGGCGAACCGAGCCTCGCCGCCACTTCCGACTGTCACCGGGGGCACAGGGGAACCGCCCGGCCGGGCCCCGCGCCGCCGGCCCCGGCACCGACCGCCCCGGGGCCGGCCGAGGCGGGGGGAGCCCTCCCGGCCGCAGGAAGCCTCAGGGAGCCCCAGGGAGCCCCAGGAAGGCACCGCAGCCCCGGGCCCGTCCCGCTCCCCCCGCGCGCGGCGCTCACCTCCCTCCCGCGCAGGCGCGTGGGGCGGCGGCGGAGGCCAGGCCGCGGTTTCCCGGCAGGCGCCGCTCGCTCCCCGCCCGGCCGGGGGGGAGGCTGGGGGGGCCGCGGGGCTGTAATGGCGGGTG